CACACCCACGCACACTCCACGTCCACACACACATGTATACTCCACATCCACCCCAGACCCACACACCCACGCACACCCCACACCCACACATCCACCCACACCCACACACCCACCCACGCACACCCCACATTCACACACACATGCATACTCCACACCCACGCACACCCCACACCCATCCACACCCAAACCCACAAACCCACTGACACCTACGCACACCCCATATCCACACATACATGCACACTCCATACACACACACGCACACCCCACACCCACGCACATCCCACACCAACCCACACCCATACACCCACACATGCACGCTTCACACCCACATCAACGCACACCCCACATCCACCCACCCACCCACACCCCACACTCACATCCACACCATCGAAACTCCACACTCACATCCATACTCACACACACACCCTTGTTCTCGCCATAGGCTTCTATTGCTGATAGGGTGTATGTGTGCTGCCGCAGGTAAATGGGAAAAAAGAAAGAAAATGTGTGCTAAACGACACAAAGACGACGACAACTACTCTTTTTCAAGGAGAAAATGATAACGACAAAAAGCGAAAATGCTCTACTGATAATTTTTTCATTTGGTTTTGCTTGGGGATTGTGATAAGTAATATATGACAATGATTAAACAAAAAACATGTACTCGGTTTATCATACATAAAAAGGGAAACGGCTATTCAAGATGAGTAATATGAAATGAGTAAAGCTTTTTTGTATGAGCAGCAAGCATTGCCAGATGACTACACAGCATATATTTATTCTTGCTGATGGAGAAGTATATATTTTCGCCATTATTCAGAGAATCTTTCCCCGTTCTCGTTTCAATATTTACATCAGTGGTTGCTTACATGAGTAAGAGGAATATGCATAGTAGTCATTGAATAGGCGTTAAAGCAAGGCATTCGATTGGCTGCATTTATCATATCTATGTTGTCGAGAAATTGGAGTTGACTGGGTATTTTTTGTCAGCGGACGAAATTGTTGCGGGACAATTGTGTTTCAGAGTAATATTACAGTGAATAACTTTTTGCTTAAAGTGCTATAGTATTTATATACAGAGCATGTGGGAGCATTGTCTTCACAGTAATCTGGCTACTCATAGTTGTCCTGCATGTCAAAATGCTTTACAGAAGAGAGTGTAGATATGAGACTGCTTTCACAATTACCCACATTCACATTATATCAATTTCACAATCGAATCCTGTGCGCACATCGGCATCCCATTTTCATCCCAAACTACACTAAACAGTCACAGCCACACCTTGCCACTGATTGCGACTAACGCCTTGAAAAGGTAAAGCTACTAGATTCGAACCACAACTACGACAAAATAGTTTACCGGCACTGTAACTGAAGTCTATAGTTACATATTCCATGATTTTAGGGAAAACTCTCTGATAATTTGTATGACTCAGAGCCTACTTCATCAGAGGTGTCCCAAAAAAGTGGTAAACATAGACTAAATTAGCCGAAACCGAAATAAAACAAGGTTCTGTACATCGCTAGAAACATCCGGACGAGCTCTTTCTCATTCATCAAAACTAAAAACGACATCGATGTCATAAGTAGCGCGACTCGTAAGTTGCATTATGAACGCTAAAGTAGTGAATAAGTCTTGGTCGAATCATCTGAAGAATACGACTCATCAGTGTTAGTATCAAACGATGCCTTTGAATAAGGTTTTTAAAGCTTATCAATTCGTATAGGTTTAAGTTGTAAATATACTCAATGAATACATGTTACTTCAGGTAAATCAATATTTCTCTTCCTATCGGTTTTATGGACTACAATTCACTCTTAAAGTTATAAAAAGCTTAGATATAATGAGTTGATATGCAACTTTCTTTCTTTCACATTTTTAAGTTCAAGTGGTTTTATCACATCTAGATGTCGAATACGATGTACTTCGGAAAGTCATTTCATTATTTATTTCTAGAAAAAGAAACGCAACTGAAAATGACTAGTAAACAAAATCATAAAAACAGTAAGTATTGATGACTTTTCGCGCATTACGGGAAAACTTTATCGTTGTATCGAGCAAAGTATGAGTGTTTTTCTTTGATTAGACAAACCTTGGCTCGAATACCAGTTTCATGATGCCGACAAAACAACCATCAAGAAACCCGATGAATTGGGAATCAGCTCGAACGATTTTGCACCATTGCGAGAAATCAACACTGATGTCGTAGATCGTATCCAGGGCTCAATTTTTGGTTTGACCATAGGTGACGCCCTTGGTGCTCATGTTGAATTCAGACCTAACAGTTATTTGGCAGCTAATCCAGTCAAAGACCTAGAAGGGGGAGGAACATGGGGTCTACAAAAGGGACAGGTAGGTAATCTAGAAATAGAAGTTGCATACTAGTTCGCTTTTATAGTTCACTGATGATGCTTCAATGGCACTTTGTTTGGCAAATTCACTGATTGCTTGTCAAGACTTTGTTCCATATGATCAACTAGTTCGCTACAAGTGGTGGTATCGACATGGCTATATGTCATCGACTGGTCAATGTTTCGACATTGGTGCGGCTACTCAACAATCCATCGAAGAATTTGAAAAGCGTCAAAGAAAGTTTGCACATGATCATGGCATTCCTTTTGACCAACTAGACTTTTTGTCCAATCGGGATCTTCTTCAAGCATTCGACGTGAAGTGCAGTAAAGACGATGTGGCTGGGAACGGTGCCCTGATGCGTCTTGCACCTGTACCACTCTTCTTTTACCACAATCCGGAACTGGCCATTGAATATTCTGGCATTAGTGGTCGAATCACTCATGGAGATGACAAAGCTTATGATGCATGTTGTTATTATGGAGCTCTCATTATAGCTGCTCTGAATGGTGCAAACAAAAATGAGTTAACTAGTAAAACTTTTTACGATAAGCATCGACATTGGTTTGGCGATCGAATCCTTCATCCTGAAATCATGGCGATCGCGCACGGATCATATAAAAAACCAGGTGGATATCAAGATGGAATTCGAGGGAAAGGATATATTGTCAATGCTCTGGAAGCTGCTTTGTGGGCTTTTTGGAGTGATGAAGACTCGTTTGAAAAAGGTGCACTTAATGCAGTTAATCTAGGCGATGATACAGACACAACAGCAGCTATTTATGGTCAATTGGCAGGAGCTTACTATGGCTACAAGAAGTTGCCAGTGAAATGGCTGGAATGTATATATGCCAAAGATTTCATTCAATGTGTAAGCAGTTGGATTGCCTACGAAGGGAAACAATGGTTCAGAAATCAGACAAACCCAGACACAAGCGTACTAATAAATGCTTATAATAACATTCAGTTCAATTCGAGACACAGAGTCTCCATTTCTCCGACGCAAGACTTACGTGCACGTCTGAAAAGAATATTGGATCAATGCATAACATCGAACGCTGTTGTGCGCAAAGCAATCGATCCTAACGGTCGTATAGGACATACATATGATGCATGGCGAGATCGTATTCTAGTGACCGAAAGTGTGAACTTGAACGTTAAGGAAGGTTACTCGTATCCAGCGATAAAATGTGAGATAAAAAGTGGCGAGAAACTTGAGAATCGGAATATCCTTCGACTCATTGATTTTCCTGCTGACCTTCGATTGAGTGTCCTATCGAACTTGGTTTCACCGACTTGGATTGATTCAGTTCTTGATTATCCTTTTGTAATCGATGAATGCACTCGCATCTTCTATTATTCATACCTAGTACGAAGTCAAGCTTTCCCTGACGACAAAACCATTTTCAAAGAAGCGTGTAAAACTCCAGCCACTCATCTTATCACGGGAATAGACAAAGGTATCGATGTTGTAGTTATATTGAGATTACCGCTTGATGATTCGAAAATCATTGATGATAGCCTCGATCAAATATGTCAATGCATGAAAGATGAGAAGGGACTAAATGTTAATGAAAATGCACTGAGTCGAGTTCTTTTCACACACGTCTATTCAAACACATCCAATTTATCCAAACAGTCAACATTATTTCGCGTATGCCAAGAAGTTCTCAGAATCAAAAAGAATCATGCTGATCTATTACCTTGCAACTATATTCTTCATCCCATCAACATCTTTTATGCTGATCAACATGAACGGAATCCTAAATTTATTCCAATCGAACCGAGGATTGCAATAATGATTGAAGAGCATTGGCTTCGATTATCTTCTGCCCAAGCAATATGGAAAAGCTTTCAAAGGAACATAAAGTTGGATGTTTTCAAAACTGAGCTCAGGAAACAACTTGATTCTGTGCACAGTAAAGTGATGGAACTAGTAGACCAATATAACAAGGAAAAGAAACAAGGCCAAGATTTGTTTCCGCGTATTCGGCAAGGTAAAGAGAAGCAAGAGGCTATCATATGTGACTTACGGATTGAGGAAGAAGAAATGAAGGTGAAGGAGAGAATCGAAAATCTGAAGCATGATCTACGAGTTTTAGAAGCGAAACAGGATTTTATCAAGTATTTGACAACCAGAGGATTCGATTATTTGAATGCCGATAGATGTGGTATCAAACGAGGCGACAGTGAAGATGAGATCGTACGAAAGGTAAATAAAGATAGGCAGGACCAACGTATCCTGTGCTCCAACGACTGTTTAAATGCAATGCATTGGTCACAATTGCAAGACATGGTTACACGACTCGCTAATGATCGTAAAGAAAAAAATGACTTGAAGCTTGTTTATGTCGATTTCACTTACTGTACATACGAGATGAACTTGATAAAAGCGTTTCCCTCAACGACTTATAATCCAAGTGCTGATATCCGTGACTTTTTAAAAGCGACGACGAGAAAATCTGATCCACAACCAGCTGTGCCTTCTACAAATCAGATGATCAATATCATTCTCATTGGTAAATCAAGAGTTGGCAAATCGACATTAATTAACGCCATCGCTAACTGTCCACAATTCAAAAAATTCGAAGAAGCTCAATTGAATAAATTTGTCCCACGCATATTGATTCCATTGATGTTTTCGCCAAAAACTGAGGGTGAACAACATTTCATTCAACTCGGCATAAACGATCCAAACGAAGATTTTAATCACCGTGGTCAGTCTATAACGCAGCGTTGTAAATCGTACAAGTTGAACGTTGAAAATGGACAGAAGTTTTGCATCATTGATACTCCTGGCTTTTCTGATGCACGTGGTCAAGCTCACGACAAGAAAACCATGGAGCACATACTATCATATATTGCAAATCTGACGCATTTGAATGCCATATGTGTTCTGATAGAGTCTGGCGACTCGGAACTCGCTGCCTATGGACAGTGTTTGACGCGATTGCTCAATTTCATTGGACAAGAAGCGCATAACAAGTTAGTTTTTTGCTTCACTAAATGTCTTTCGCAGCGAATGAGTGATAATGAAAGAAAAGCTGCAGTTGAACGACTGCTTCGATCATCTTCCCGTGACAAAATTCCTGTGAAACCTAACAGCATAGTTTACTTCGACAGTACCTTCTTTCTTCATTTAGCTAAAGTACGTTGGTCCGATCATCTAGCGAAGGATTATGAAAAGAGCTGGAAGTTCTCCAAGAAAGGAGTGGATCTACTTCTGGAGTATATTCATCAAATCGATCCTCCATATGTCCTGCATCAAGCACGACAACAAGCAGAATATGTCCGAATCGAAATTCTTGAAATGGTTCGTCCGATGACTGAAGCAATGCGAAACATTCTTCGAAATAAAATTATATACAAGTTAGAAACCCAATATAAATTTGTCGAACTTCGTCCAAAACCTATTGAACGATCTTCCGCTATATGCTGCTTGTGCCCGCGTCCAATTCGACAATATGGCTACTTTTGGATTACGTGTGATTGTTTGCACAAATATCGAGAAATATGTGAATATTGTACATGTCCCCCAAAGCAACACGTCCGGGTCGATTATAAACTGGATTACGAGGCAGTCGATAGAGTCAAGTATCAACTAAATGACTTAGTTACTTGGGACAATGAAATATTTTCTGCAAGTGTATGCTTTGCTCATTTTCTTATAACTAGTGATCATTGTATCACTAATGATCCGTTCTTGGCAAGTCTCAATCGAATGATCTATGAGGAAAGTCATATTTGGAGAAATGAACCTTATCACCAGTTTAATTTGCAGTTGCATAAGGAGCTTCTACAACTCAAAGCTGATCATGAACGAAAGATGGAAGACATGGTACGAAAAAGTGAACACAATGATTTGATTGGTGTTAACAATTGGATCGAAAATATCAAAACTATCCCTATGGTACGACAACAACTGAATGCTGCCAAACAAATAAAGAAAACTTCTTGTTAGATCATTAGATTCAGAGACTACTAGGACAATCAGTTGAATTACTCCCAGTACTTAAATGAGATTTTTACGCTTAATATAATGAATTTATTCTTCATATCCTGTTTTAAGTCTCATTTTCATGTGTCCCATCTAAGGGTGTGAGTGTGACTGTGGCTGTCATGATTCTCTTCACCCACACCTACACCTACACCACATCCACACTCATGTATTGATCGATAAGAGTAGACAGGATCATTTATAAAATAAATTAAGAAGCTAAGCACATAGAATAGTTTTTCTCGTTTATCTAGAATATTTTGTAAACTACATATTAGTTGGATGGAATTCTTGATATTTATCTCCGACAAAGAAAAGCTTTTTTCGACTCTGTTGATCAAAGCAATTGCTAAAATGGTGCTTTACTGCATTATCAATTGATAATAGTGAATAGCTGATACGACAGATTATGACGTCAAATATAGGATAATTGGCAAAGACATTCATCTAATAAAGCAAGATGATCGTCAAAAGTTGACACAGTAATACTCAAATTGAAGAGAGTATATGAATAACCGTGTGTACGATTTACTTTCCGCGGGTTTACTTTTCATTGATTATTTTGAGTTTTAATTGGATTTTTTTCATAGAAAATTATGATTTTTGCTCCTAAGGATTGTCTTTCCGTTGAATTAGTTCGACGAAAAGAAATGAGCAGATTAGTAGTCATTGAGACAATTCATATCTTATGGGGGTGAATGTAGGTGTAGATGTGGATGCATGCGTGGCGTCTGTAGGTTCGAGTATCTGTGGGT